ATAAAGATTTTATCATACATCTTATATGTGTAATTACAATTTTACCACGGCGTGACCTCAAACACACAGCATAATTTTGAATGACGCATTTTGTTTTGATTGATGTAAGCTGGGCGTGCTGGACGGGGGTGGGAGGTGGGGTGATCGGGAAATTATTGCCCTGATGTGAGGGCGCACTTCCCATAGCGTTACAAGGCCTGGCAATACGAGGTGTATGATGAGAAGTAATACCAGTATCTCACCAAAGAAACCAGTGATATTTTTTACTATGGTATCTTGAAAAGTTGTCCAGTGACCTTAATATGATGAGAATATGCATGTTTCGTAAATAATGGTCACTCATTCTGGTATTCTCCATTTGTAGGTATTACAGTAATGATTGTAAATAGTGTGTGTCATTTTTTGCCATGTTATAATGTAAACTGTTTTTTACTTCAGTGATAACTGAATGAATATTTTTGCTAATGTAATTGATAATTCTTGTATATTGAATTTACATGTATGGAAAGTACCAGGATGTGTGACCTTCTTTGAGGTCATGTACAAGGCATTTGCAAATACATGTACATGTATATGGCTGGTCTGATTGTATCTGCTCCAGACCCCAAGTTGATGAGTTTCTACTTTATCTTTATTTTTTATGTATCACTTTCATCATGCCATGTTCAGTAATACATGGTGGAAATCCAGGTTTTAATCCCTATTCCATGTAAGTTGTTCTCACCGGGAAATTAATATGTGGGGCAGAATTTAGTATAGTTAAATTTGAGACAATCATACCTGTTTATGTGAGACTCAAGACAACTATTTTGTTCATGTTATCCTGGAGATTAGTATCCTCATATGAACATATTTAATTTTTGCCTTTTGTATTTCAATTTACATTTATAAATTGTCACATGTATAATAATCCTCACTTTTTGAGGCTGTTTAACTCATCAAACACATGAATAGCTACAAATTACTGATATCTATTGTATTAAAAAGCTCTAGCTGGCAAAACCTTGAACAGTATCCTATTAGCAAAATTCTCATGAAAACACTGCATGTACTGCACTACACTCTTGGATTTCTAAGTTCACTCACTTCTTGCAGTATCCATGCAAACTCATCAACACTCAGATAAGCTGGAAATACCCCAGAGATCATATTGATGTAGAAACACCTGACTATAGTGTATATCTATTTATTTGATAGGAACTATATGGGTTCTTTTATTCTGATCTATTCATGTTTTTTCCATGACATACTAATCCTTTTCTTGTAACTAATTAATAATTTAAAATATGTAAAATATAAACGAGTCTGGTGTTTATTATCCATGACACCTTCTTTATTTACAAAGACAGGTTGATTCTCAATGAAAGAGGTAGATTTGTCAATTATGTATTTGTTATGGATAAAAATGCAATTAAAATCTTGGGGCTATCATGTGATATATTTGATCGTATGGAT